ATTCTATCATATCACTTGCAGAGGATATCTAAGCCCTCTTGTTGTTGATGCCAAGGAGCTGAACCTCGCTGGAATCCAGTCAGCTCTGCCATCACTACCAGAAGCGCTCCGGGAAGAACTTACAAGATGAGGGTGGAGTTGCCAGGGATGACAGGAGGGAAGCCACTAAGATAAAAATGTTAGTTCTGCCGCGACACACTGTCCAGCCGTAGACACATACCGAGAGCCATAGCCGTAGTCACTGTCGTATCACGCATTAGCAAATGGAATAGCAATAAAATCAACCGAAGCTCAGGCAAACTTACGGGGTAATGGTGAGGACAGCCTGCTCGCCAAGGCTCATCTGAGGGACACCCTCATCCCAACCTATCCTCGTCAGCACAGAACATCCGAGCGGATTCGTATCAAAATACCCTTGATGACACGGCCAGTACCGATCTGGGTCTGGAAGGGTTGTCCCCGGTCGACGGAGCTGTCGAACCTAGAGTTACCGGTCAGCAATCGACTTAGTCTAAGAAAGCAGAAAATCCTGTTCATAAAGACAGCGGATAGCTATATCGGCACCTACTTTGAGCCGTCGGTCAGTCTACCGGTGTAGTGGATAGTGACAAAGTCGCCCTTCTGGGGGAAGTCGACGCCGTTGCCGGGGGACTTGAGTTCCTTGGTGACACCCATTGTGATTTCTGGTGGAGAATAGAGGAAGATGGAGAGGAATCTGGAGTTGAATTGAGATCAGGGGAAGGAGGAGATTTTTGCTGAATTTCTATCTCCAGGGCGGGGTATCTCAGCAAAGCGCGCAGTAGGTGGGGGCACACCCCACCATGGCAGCTTCTCATTGGTCAGACTGGAGAGAGGGAGATTGTATCATCCTTGGCATGTGATTGGAGATCAGTCGTCAGCGATGAGCTACAGGTGTCAATCTTCGACTTAAATGGCACAACTTGTCATTATTACTAGAAATATAACTGTAGACTTTTATTGTGATGAGGACTATATACATTAGCATCAATCTTAATCTAAAATGGCTTTTTTGATCCTCAGTTGTGAGAATAGTTGAGCTGAACCTAGACTAGGAAGGATGTTAGCAATACAGAGAAGTATTGAGCAATGGTCTACTCTAAACTACAAAAGCTCAGGCGACAGAGCTGATGGCATTGCGTTCGGGTACCTACCCAGCAGATCGAATCGAGAAGCTTGTGCCAATGTACAACTACCTACTTGAGATAGTCCTGGGCATGTATCCGGGGTGTTGTGACCTTTGAAAGGACAAAATCGTAGCCGTCAAGGGTTACGAAGAGCCAAGGGCGTCGCAGCGGGTGTAAGACGCAGGTAGAGATCTTGACAAATCTGCCACGCTCGCTCTGAAGCAGCATGCCGAGAAGCCATGGCTAAAAGCCAGTGCATGCCTTTCTGTATGTACCGTGAAATTATCTCCGTATCCTTGGCTCCGTGCGTGACGCGCAAATCCAGCTCGATTAACAGCACAGTGAGGGCTTGCATGAGATCATGCAAGATGCAGCACCAGGGAGCAATGCGACCCAGCCAGATAATGTCAGGCTCATCGGGCAACTGCGAGAGCATATTGCAGGCCGCATTGGTGCATATGTCCGACATCTCCTTCCACCTACAGCTTGTAGCTTGACCACTTCGCTCCCATCGGTAAATAGCGATCCGGGCAATCGTCATTTTTGCGCTATAAAACTGAAAAGCAAGGCACCATCGCTGCGTCTCAAATGCCGGGTCCTCCCGAGGGCGACTGAACTGGAAAGGCTCGGGCAGCCGTCTTTGCAGGGAATCGATGGTCGAAATAAGGTCTTCAAGGGCTTTTCCCACTGAATAGCTGCTCAACCTGGTGGCTCCAGGAGCATAAAGCAGGTTGATTGCGCATCGCATAATCCGGGCTATCTCAACTGTGAACAAAAAGTAGAGCGACGCGCACGGCTTGACTGCGGGAAGATAGGTTTCGGCATCCGGAGCCGTTGCCGACAGCAGGGATTTGGAAAGAGCACGTCGAGCGTTGGTGTCCGCCAGCAAGCGAGCAACAAACGCGTCCCCAAACTGGTCCTCGTCAAATGGCAGAGGCAACGGCGCCGCGCAGAACTGATTCGCCACGCTGTACGGCCGACCTGTCATAACTGACAGTGTAGTTTCGAGGACGAAGATCGACCACCAAACTCGACACCGAAGCTCTTTCGAGATATCCAACGTATCTTTGCTAATACTCCTAAGATGAAGACCCATAGCGATGGCGGAACGAGTTGCCGTACCGGATATTCTCCAAGCCCTGTCAACAGCGGTGTCAGATGAAAAGCACAAAATGAGTCAGATGGGTCATATTCGGCGTTATACTTACCTGTTCACTTGGCCAATGATCAGCAGGTAGAATGCAGCCAGTCCTTCGATCTGGGCTTGTTGAATGTCAGGGTGCGGAATCAAAGAAGTGTCAGCCAGTCCCAGCTTGCTTCCCCGGGAGAAGTATTTCGAGGGGTCGTGCCATTCGCCAGCCTCATCAAAATACGTCAAGCTCAAATGCTGCGCAGCAATGGCAAGGATCAAGTTGAAAATAGCCAGCCATTTCTTTGGCGGCTTCGATTGAGGCTCCGTGTATAACCGTCGATACTGGTGTAGAAATACGGTTTTGCCGACGATGGGGAATCCAGGATGCACCATGTCAAAGTAAGTGTCGAGTAGTTCGTCTGCGACATCTTGCGGAGGGATTGTAAATGGCTGCACCGAGGGATCAACCGAGAGCTCCTCACTATCCAGGAAGTAATTGACGGAGCTGATTGAGTCTGCGAAGAAGTCGTCTGGAGTCTCTGGACCTAGCCATGAGGCGTCCAGCCGGAGCCCTTTCCGCTTCAATTGATGCAACCATGATCTCCCCGAGTGTGCACCGATGAATCCCGTCGCCTGGCTTACCTTGTCCTTGTTGAAGTCTTCTTCGATGGGATCGGTGATCGGAGTTACCAGGCGTGTAATAGCGTCGACGGATAGATCGCTGCTCGGGCTGAGACTTGCAGGCGGCGTCTCCTGTAGAATTGTTAGTCCGAAAACGTTCGGTTTCGAGCCATCCAAAAAAAGGGACTTACCTTTTCCAGAGCCTTAGCGATCAATGGCTGGTCCTTGGCATCGACTCTCGGTTGAATTCGCCGCAGCAGACGGTAGAATTCCTTCAACCGCTGCTCGAGATCCTGCAGTCGCCTCAAGATCGAGGTCAGTAACACGCGCAATGTGCCAGATCATTGGAGCAAGTAGCCTACCTTGCGACCTTCTCGCTCTTGTTAGCTACAAACACGCACTCGATTTTCAGCTCACGACATCTCTCACATGGCGATCCCCCAGTGCATTTTGCCTTTTGCTCCCTGCAATTAATACAAGCTCTGCTCGCTCGACGCGTCCGAGGCTTTGCCGTCGTGATGCGCGGTAAGCTGACTTTAGGTAAAGATTGGCTGGATGATGATTGTTGTGGACTCTCGTCTTTCTGGGTACCGCCTGGTGAGCCTTCTCTTTGACGCTTTCGTATCTGAGAAGTCTGACTCTGGGGGTCCATAGGGAAAGTAACTAGTCAAGTGATCGATTCAGACATAATTGAAGAACTGCACGACAATTGATTTACGATTTATCTTGTATGATGAAGTCACCCAGACCTGGAGAACGGCATTTATGTATGGGGCGAGTATATCATCCCCAAGCCACATGTGTATGGGCCCACAGCTGTCAGCTGGATTGTTTTCCTTTTTGGGCAGTTCGTTTCCAGAACTTTCTCGCCGATTCATCCCATTTTTTGGTGTCGCGCAGCCACAGACGTAATTGCCGTTCTTTTAGACAGACGGCCATTGAACAATGGATTAAGGGACTTGTCAATCATTCCCTCGGATCTCCAATCACAACTGGAGTTGTTGATCAGGGACTCTGCCCTAATCGATCTGCATAGATAAACAAAGTGGACTGGACTGTTAGAGAAATAAGAAGAGCGGGATGATGTCACTGAGAAATGACCAAGCCTGACGAACTCCACCGTTCAAGCCCACCCTCAAGCCACTGTCATCAACAGAAATGATCGAAGCACATTCTCCAATCACCAGGATGCGTCTATGTCAGTCTGTGGGGATTGCGGATAATAATTATGCCATCTCCGTCTGACAATCAAACTTACTGATCAAGTCGGCTGTTCGCTTCCGAATGTTCCTAGCTTGCTCTCGGAGACATACAGCTTTGAGATACTGCTGCCGTTGATGCTATCCCAAAGCCAGGTCACGACGCTGCCTTTAAGTAGCCAGATTCACTTTCCCTACCTAATTGAGGATAGCACAGACGTGGACACGTCCACATCTTCGAATATATCACTGATTTAGATGATTTTTGATGGTGCAGCTCCAAAGATGTCCAATATTCTCCTTGAGCCGCCGGATCAAAGGGCCAATGTCAACCGATAGCCGAGGACTAAATGATTGGGATAATGATCATGCTAATAATCAAGTCTTAATTGGTCAACCAGTATTAGCTGTGACACTCAATTTGGCATTTTTTCTAGTGACATACTGTCTCATTTCTGAATTGTCGCGCTCTTTCTTTAACCCGTCGGCAGTCACGTAGTTACATACTATCGCCAATTCCTGCGCCTATGCTGTCGAAGGTCTGTGCACCACATATGTTACACTATCTTCTCCTGGCCATGCACTATAATTTGAAGATCTAATGACACCCCGAGTTACCCCAGTCTCAGAACACCCCAAACACTCAGATCACGTGACTTCCGGTATAACATTTGCGAGAGCGTTCCCAAGCCCTGTAATACGCGTCTACAATAGCCTGCTATTACATCTAAAGCTCTGTTCAGAACATATCTAACCGGAAAAGGAACGATACAATCCACGATATTGGTCCTATATACAATAAATACCGTACAACATCATAACCATCATAATGCTATGAACACAAAAAGCGCCCAACGCTTTTATACATCAAGCACTTTTCTTGCCCTCCCCGACACAGAAGCATCAGGCACACCCCGCCCTCCTCTTCTCAATATAACTCGTAATCGGCCCATCGCCACACCGCGCATGCCGCACCAGCTCCTCCTTAAGCGAGATCAACCCATCCCGCAGACTCTGCACCTGGTACTGCAGCTCGCGTTTCGCAAGTGCTAGGTCCTCGAAGCGGGATTGCAATTGCTGGATGTACTGCTTTTTCTTGGAGCGGCATTTTGTGGCCGCCACGCGGTTCTTGTGGAGGTAGCGTTGTCGTTTGATGGTGTCTGATTGGGGGTGGTTACCGAGCGGGGATGTTGATTTCGAGGCTGGTGCTGTGGGAGCTTGAAGGTTTATATGCTGGGTCTCTGTGCTGGGGTGCAGGGTTGCCCCTGTCCAGGGCAAGGGGGACTGTTGGTCGAGGTAGAGAGGTTGAGAGGGGAGGTAGGCGTATGTGTAGAGCTGAGGAGTGGCGGTATATGTGTATGCCTCGGTGAGGTTTTTCGATGCTTCTGGGGAAAACTGGGAGAACTGGTTGGCGTAGGGGTACTGGTACTGTGTGTTGTAGGCGGATTGGTCTGATGAAAAGGATTCCGCCGGGGGCGTGGTCGTGTAAGTGCCTGTTGAAGACGGATAGTATGGTGGTAAGAAAGAGTTGTAGTAATCCCGGCTATAGCTGGGAGGGGGGTATGATTCTGTCATTTGAGAGCACATATTACGTATATCACAACGAGAGTGGAGAGGATAATTGAGGTGAGTAAGGAGCGACCAGTCTGCCTGGGGACTTAGGAGCTATCATATATGCTTGCCACCTTGTAAGCTACACAGAGGGCAGTATGCACAGGGCTGACATCTGCGTGACTTGATTACGTTTGAGTTTGTTTGTACCTAACTCAAACGCCTTGTCCTTGGACGTACTTGAGATACTTTTGCGAGTCATTGGTGGGTGTGATCTAGCTCGAGTCCGAGATTATGCTGCGGTATTAAGCGGAGATGACTGGCTCTTAGCAACAGATACGCATTGATACACTTTTCCCGCGTCGTTTCTGACCCTGATAATCATCAATGATATGAGGACTTGTACTAAACGATCCAAACTTAATACAGCAGAGGATTCCTATCCAGAAAGCAAATACCTATTGCCCGTTTCCTATCCTTCTGCTGAACATATGGACAAAACGGGCTGGTTGACCGTGTCAGGATCTCGGTGACAGTTCATTAAAAGTATCCTACTCCCTCTGGTAGCTACAACTGCCGATCTCATGCTTTGGAGTCTGATTTGTATCCCAAGTTCCCTGGTTGGTGCTTACTTGGAGGAGGTTGATTAAACGATGCATGCACGGTGGAGATGATCTTCGTTATCGTTCAATGGCGCAGAGTTCCTTGGATGGTGGCGTTCGACTTGAAACGGACTATCTCCGGCATAGCCGATTGTTCTCCTGCCATTGAATGCTTTTGACCATTGAGGCATGCATTCATCTCAAGAAGACCTATAGAGCTGCACGCGGTGGACAAAGGTCGACCATCGATCCACTCGACCTATGTCAAGCAAACCAAATGCTCAAAACTCATCCTGCATGTCGACATACCCTGGTTTGGAGATCATTTCCGATGTTGATTCTCATTGGTGTCAAGGTAAGACACGGGCCAGCTCGAGTGATTGTGGGGTTGCCAAGGAAGAATCACCATCAGGCCATCAGACCCTCGAATGAACTAATTGAGACGATCCAAATAATTTGGATCGGGATATGAATGGTTCGGATGCCTTCCCCGACTGTTGAGATGACCACCACTTAAACATACCCAGGCTGGAAGTCAGAAGCTGATAAGCTGACTCTTGACGAGAATGAGGGGTAACACGATCAACCACAGCAGCCCCACCACCAAACAGGCTCAATCAAGGGGATCGTCGATAGCTCGACGGGATACTTTCCAAATCTACCAGATATCTCGCTGATGTTGATTGGATAAAAGACTCATTTTGGCTCTGATGATGACGCGGACATTCGATGTAGTCAGCGTTCAGAGCTGTAGCATTCAGTGTTTCGCTGCTTTGAGGATGGTCACTGATAGCCTTTGACGGCTACACTCGGCCAGCATGAACTGAAATGGTCATGTTCTGTAATCTTCAGTCCATTCTGTGTTCTGAGCAGATGTTATCAAGAAACTCGAGTTCTATGGGATCTTGCTCGACGAGAAGACGCTTCGTACTACTGAAGCTTATTAGCATGAACATCTAACGCTCAACGGGGATCACGTCAGCATTATTCATCTCAGGACTGCACCAGGAATAAAGTGCATGCGAGGTACCCAAAAGGGATCTTGGGGTTTCGGAGGATTCCAGCCGTTCCTCTTTGGTCGACCTCATTTCCATCTGTCTTCTATTGGCGGGTGGTACTCGCGGAATTTATCAAAGGTCCCGCAAACTCAATCCAAGTCAACGAACGGGAGAGGTAAAAAGTGTCTACTCAAACTCTCGAAGTCGATAGAGTGGAGCAGTGCACGGGGCGCAAACCGGTTCTGTGGATTGGCATTGAGCCTCGTGTTGAATATGAATAACAGGGATGTCCCGACAACTTTCGCATGTCCAACGTCCCACATATCAAGCTTTTGGCTCTGGGCCGATTGACGGACTCGACTTCCTATCTATGGATTATCAGGCGTTTTTCAACTGCACGGACATGACCAGTCACCAATCATTGCTAGATTCTCGAATGTGGCTTTTGAGCATTCAGCCGAAACGGTATCGCTAAACACCAAAGAAGGTTTTATCCAGATGAACATGGCCCGGACCAGACTCTCGGAGGATCTATTGGGAATTCTTGCCGTGAAGCCCTCGGGGAAAATACCTGAACAAGCTGCTTAGACCTTGGCGAAGAATATACGATAGCATCACAGGAATGGTTCGAACTTAGCGGCATTCGCCCGATTTCCTTTTTGAGCCATTGTTGTGACTTGAGCCCTCCCAATTCTGACAAATTGCTGAGGTCTCCAAAGGCCGAACGCGACTCAATCTCGCTTCGATAGCTCCTGAGTGCCGGCGGCTCCAGTCAAATTCCTTTCCTCTCAGTGATCCTCATCTCAAGTCGAAGTAGCCTGGCAATCCTCGACTGCATTAGGTTTGGATCGTTTAGCGCAAATCTTGTACTAGTGTGCGCTCTTATAATAGCGCATCCTTTGCAGGGACGTACCTCTGCATTATATGGCATTGAATAACTAAGTTGATGTTTCTTGATGGATCCTTCATGTTAAGATGTCAACATTGTGGTGTGTATAGACTGGCTCTTCTTGGCTTTCGTCTATAAAAGACCCAAAATTAGGCTGGTCCACAGAGTACTTGGAGCCATTCCTGTTTCTACATCGGAGTCTTCTCCATCCATTAGGCAGCTCCATCCTCAAACTATCTATGATTACATACTGACCCTCAGGCTGGTTTCTAAAGGACACTCAGAAATGAGTTCTTCTGGCGTACATCGGGGATGTTACTGTTTTCCTTTCGCTTCAAGGTCGCCATCATTGTAAGGTCTTCCTTCCTCTATATATTTTTTTTCGCCCTGCAGTCAATACACTCAGACGCATGGATTTTGAGTCAAGATCAAGGACATGTATGATTTATGTGTCTATGTCGAATATCTTGGAAGTGTTCGACGATATCTGACTTGCTCGTTCATACTTAATGGGCGATGTCAGCATTGGGCGTTGGTTGAATGGGTACATGGTTGACATAGTGTCTTTCTGGCAGTAAGTGCCAGAACACGTCTCCATTTTAGCTGAAAGGTACGGGATGTTATTATTGACGTAACTGCCAGAGGGACTGGTTGAAATGGCGGTACTCCCCATCTTTCTTTCATCGACCATAACGTAGCTTTTGTATGACCATCGCAGGTAAACCGCTCATTTGAATCTAATTCACGCTCGAAATGTTTAATTAATTTTAATACACCCTGTAAGTTCACAATCAAACTAATCCCTTCTTACGGCGCTAATCATCATCCCCTGATACAGCAGATGCGATGTCATCCAACAATCAGTGGTCCTAAGCGCCGGCATGCCAGGATCCAACAAGTCCATACCAGCAGTCCCCGGCGCCTAGCTTCCCAAAATAACCAGAAGATAAAATGACTTAAAGAGCCCCTCGACGGATCTTGCCATTCTCTCACCCCAATGTTGTCCCAAGGAGCACAATGTCTCTCACAGCAGTATCTCTCATCCTCCTCACTCTCACACCAGTCACAGCAACATGCTACTGGCCCAACGGCAACACAGACAACAACTACATCCCCTGCCCCAATAGCAAATCCTGCTGCCTCAAGGGCGAAGCATGCCTCTCCAACGGCCTCTGCTACGGCGCAACCCTCAACATCGCCTATCGCGGTGCCTGCGCCGATAAATCCTGGCCGGCCCAGGAGTGTCCGCATGTTTGTCTTGATTGTACCGTACCCCGTTCTCCCTTTTGCCATGCGTCTGGCCTTCTGACTAATTTGAATGCAGCGATCCCTGACCACTGGGCAAATCTCTACTCGTGCCCCAATTCCTCGACGAACGTATTCACATGCGGGTATGCGGGGTGGGCGACGGACGTCTGCAGTGCGAATCTGGGGCAGTGGAAGTGGGTGAGTGGGGATGTGGAGGTTGCAAAGAACGGGAATGGGAGTGTGAGCGCATCAGCTTCTGCTTCCATGGTGCAAGACATTGTTACGACTACATCATCGGTTTCTGGTTCGTCTACGGGAACGCCGAGGGGGACGATTACGGGGGATATCATCACGACTACTGGGTCTGCAACTGCTACGGCATCGACAGGGACAGGGACAAGTACTCCGAAGGATTCGTCGGATAACTCTATCTCTGCGATGACACTCGGGGCGGGCCTAGGGGTTGGACTAGGCGTCCCGCTGCTCGTCGTATCGGGGTTACTGATCTTTTTTATCCGGATGCGAAGGCGAGCGCCGGCAGCGCCGGCACCGCCGGTCAATGAAAAGGTCTACCCCGGCGCTGTGTACTATCCAGGCCCGGCGGAGATTGCCACGCAGAGACACAATATGGCTACGGAGCTGGAGGGATCGACGAATGGTCGACCGGAGTTATATGGGTAATTAGCTTATACTATTGCTTATATCATAATGTATATTTCTGCTCTAAACCTGCCACCACCCCGGCGTGGACCACAGGTCCATCGTACTAGCTTGTCCCTGCGCATCAGCCCACGCCGTATGCCCCGCCCAACTGATATAATCCCAAACATCCTGACTCGACACGCCCAGTTCAGTCCCCGTATACGCCACCGAGACGGTCTGTGGGATCTGGATCCCCGACTGCAAAACAACCGGATATACCCTCCCCGGCGCAGCAGGAGACACTCCACCCGACGAGACCCCCGACACCGACGCCGTCCCCAACTTCGCCATCGACGCCCGAAAAATCCTCGTAATGAGATCCAGACTCGGCCGCGAAGTCGGATGCCACTCCTCGACGCGCGCAATCGCCGCCATGGCAACCTCAACCTGCTCCCTGCACGACTCCACCGTCTCCATGTCCGTATCCCCCTCAGCCTCCCCGGCGAGAATACTCAGCGTCAACAACGGCACCAGGCTCGCCTGGAACGCATGCCAGATGACCCCCCACGCCGCCACGGGACTCTTCACCTGAGCCTCGGCGATATCGACAATCGCCTCGCGCGCGAGCCGCTGGCACTTTTCGATGGCGAGGCGCTCTTCAGTGTGGAGCGCGATGGCGGGGACGCGGCGGAGGGCATAGTGCAGCAGGATAGGGCGGTAGAGGAGGATGCGCAGGTTATGCAGACTCCAGCGCATGCGGGTGCGGGCCGTGTGGATCGAGTCCGGGCAGGGCTCGTACGATTTCAGGAGAGGTGGGAGCTGCTCGTACCAGTCTGTCAATTCGGCGTCAAGTTCTTGGAGTTGGGCGTACGCCGGGAGAGGAGATGCGGCGAGGGCTTCCTGGGCGCGGGTAGCGATCTGGCAGAAGCGGATGTTTTCGACGAGGATGAGGGTGCTTGATGTGTTCTGGTACAGTTAGTTGTTGAGTGCAGGACGACAGAGGACAAGGGGACGTACAACTGGCGGCATCGTCGAAACTGCCATCGAGGAGCGGCCTATCGTTGGCCGTCCGAGGGTCATGCAACCCCATGTATCGAGGCAATAGAGCGACCACCAAATCCGCCGGCGCAGATCGGCGGGAACCGATGGCTGGAGCGGCCTGCTCTCGCTCTCGTCTGCGTCTGCCAGCTCCTTGTGCAGACCGAGCGCGGTGGCCATCCGCATCGCGGCCCCGATGAGCACGTATGCCAGGTTTGGCTGGCTGATGTAGTGCAGGTAGTGGCCGGCCATGATGCCGAGAGTCTGGACGGTCTCGATGTGTGCGCTGCCGAGGGATTCGAGGGAGAGATAATGGCGTGCGCGCTTGCAGTAGGCGATGTGCGTGGTGTCGTCGCTGGGGTAGACGGAGATGCTGCCTAGGGCGAGGACCATGTTCATGAGGGCGAGCCAGTGCTCATCGCGTCGGGTGTTGGATATGTAGGTCTTTCTGAAATCGGTCTCGTCGAGGAGCGGCATGGAGGGATGGATGAAGTTGAAGTAGGCATCGATGAGTTGGCTGCTGGCTTGGGATTGGTTGGATGGGGCTATCGGGACTCGCGGTTTCCCTCTAGGCTTGTCTCTCGATGGAGTTGTAGGGGACGGTCGAGCCATTGATTCCGGATTGACCCATCCGATGACCTTGAGGACGGCATTAATGGAGGAAATCCCTAAGTAGGTGGACGGCGGACGCGTCGCCATAGAGAGCGCGTTGACATCATCCGATACATCGTCCTCTTCATTGACAGCCTTAACCTCGCCACTCTCAGCATTTCCTATTGACATCGCCTCCAAAGACGATCGCGAGTGATCCTCATCCGGACTCTCTGATGGCTGCGGAGGGGGTCCATTCGAGGCAAGTATACTATGCCGCAACAGATCCAGCAGCTCCCCACGCGTCAGATTTACAAGCGACTGCAACGATACCGAAGGAAACAATCTCTCCAGAACAGCTCGGTACTGACTATCTGCAATACAATCGTCGTCTCGGATCCTGCTGGGTGGCATTCTGGGATCTGAATAGCGACACAGCTCGGGCTTCTTATAGTACAGACACGGCTCACAAGGATGCGTCCCCGTGCAGCGGATCTTGCGTCGACGGCATTCCTTGCAGGCTCGTAATCCTGGTCGTCGTCCATGCCGTTCTTCGCGAGTCGCTGTACGCGGGCTGCGGTGGATTTCAAAGGTGTGGAACATTTTCAATATATATTTTCATAAAAGCAAGGCGAGTAAGCATTAATCTTCCTTGATCATGTTTGAAGCATGATGTTGAGTAGAGAATCGAGTTTAATGACTGTGGGGCGATTGTGTCAGGGTGTCCAGATTGCCCACCTCCCTACTCCTGTTCTCGCATAATCAATCATAATAGTGACATTAAGACTAGGAGTGAAATAAAACTGCATTTGCCACAGTACTTGCCCCGGATTTACCCCGCACTCTGAGATTACTCTTAAAGCCAGAAAGCTTCACACGTAGTGTGACTGTCTGGTGTGATGAGCAGGTGTGATCTCGTATCCTAGACGCCAGGGTAATGCATGCCCTCCTGAACGCATCACGCTCTACTGACTAGCAACTTGCAGAAACAGGAAAAGGAAAACGGGGCAGTTATACTTTCGGCGTCAGAGTTTAGGCTGTTGAGTACGGAGTTGTCCAGTATTATGTCTCAGGTCCGGACATCCTGGCCTTAGTCTGTTTCAGATAAGGAGTTTTCGGCTAATGTTGTTGAAAGCTGATAATCCACTCCACATATTGATATGGAAATTTGTCGCAGACTTAGTTTCAGGGTCCAGCGTCCTCGAGACGTAGAAATACAATTTGTATCAAACGTGCTCTTTTCGATAGAGGTATCAAAAGACTTGCAGGAGCTGAGCCCATCTGCTACTTCACATCCCACTCTTGCAACCTTGCACTATAGTGAGACGGCTTAATTTAATCTGAAGTTCTGCTAACCAACTGGAACCTTCAAAGCTTCTTACATGGTGACATTCTACCACCTGACCATGGCCCAGTGAACGTGACTGGTAGCGTGGAATCTCAATGCCGAAAGAACTAGTTCATCAAGTAACGGGATACTTGCCGTACCTTACCAGGAAGCTCGTTAGCTTTAGGCCCCAATTCTTGTTCTGCTGTCGAAAGGCCCCTGTTCGAGCCCTTGAAGTCAGCTGAGGGTTAAGCTCATCGGATCGTCGGGTCGAAAGCCGATGTACGCTGCAGTCTGAGATGTTTAAGCGCTGAGGATGAGAACATCATTTGGTTATGCATCTCATTTTGAATATGTGTCACTCATTCGGCCATTTCTGAGGAGTTACTATACTCTCCCGCCGTAGCACCGTGTTCCCTCACACAATGACACAATTACTACCACAGCTGCCTTACGAGGAATCAATCATGAGATCATCGCATGACGCTCCCGCGGCTATTATTCCCCCCACTCCATCTGTGATATTTCTTCTCACAGTCACAGTCTAATTTGAGAACCTCAAATGGAATGTCAGGTGGACATAAAAAATCCTCCCATACCGAGTAACTGACTATCAAGCTTGCGCCAGAAGATACGTGCATGCGCGAGGTCCGACCCTTCGTCCACTCCTCAAACACTCACCACTAGAGAAGGCTTCGTCACTCGGTGCCAAGCCGGCGTCCTACGCAACTTCAACTCGGTCGGGGAAGCAGTCGACTACAAGGTCTTGAATCCTGAACAAGTAACGAGCGCCGTCTGACAGTTGACGTCGAATGAGGTGCTCGGCGCTCAGAAAGATCGTTTGAAGAGACTTCAAGGGCGTGGATGGGCGGGACGTTCCCGAGGAGAAGCCGATGAACCAGAATTCGGAGGTTATTTTGGAGGAATTGAGAAAGGGTCGTGCATGGTATCGCCTAATCTCAGATGGCTATCTACATACAAACAGTAGCCTTCTAAGTGAGCTAGTGCGCATCCAAAATCAGATCTTCCACCGACGAGTCATTGCCTTGTCAGTGTAGGTACGCCGATGACAGCCCATGCAGCAACACGCCCCGGAGTCGTGCACTGTTCTCCCCGGCAATACGTCTGGCTACCCTTCAGCGTCTCAGTTCCTTCACTCAAGTCAATCAGAGTAACTTTGCCAGTTCCGCAACCTACAGATTGAAATGTCTGATTCGAATAACGAGACCCGTGCAGACCGATGATACCGAATCAATCTATTTCTTGCAAGTCTTGCCCTCCCCGCCCTGCTGCGATTCTTCTGGAAGCCACGAGAAGGGGATGATCTCCAACGATCGATTTTGCAGCGAACCATCTCTGCGTACGAGGTGACTTGACGCGCTCTCCATAGGGCGGCTGAGTGATCAACGCAGCTGCTTTATGTCCTTTTGCAGTCTCCGGATGTTGAGACCCTTCAATTTTATTGCCCACCGTCGGGGGCCTTTCGCTTGGTAATGATTCATGGAGTCCTTCCAGTCACTGAGAGAGCGCGAGGAGAGTATGGCATGAGGGTGATTAGGCCCCAATGTTTTGTTGTAAAGCTCAGAACATTTTTCCATTAGGGCCAAGGCGTCTTGCAGCTTTCCTTGGGATTTCCAGGTATAGGCCAGGTTATGCATGCTGCTGAGAGTGTCTGGATGTTCAGCACCTAGCACAGTCTTCATCATCTCCAATACTTGCACCCCTAGCTTCTCAGCTTCATTCCAT